AGGACTACATAAAGCAGTCCACGTGGGATTTTCGATCAGCCTTCTAACATAACCTAACCTTTAATCTATTATATTATATTATAATTATATTCGTTCGGGTTTCCAAAGGATGTCGTAATTTGATTATTGTTTCATTGTTTCGACAAAGGAAACATGTTTTGATAATTTATTGTCGTTGCCCGTCCTGGCCGGAAAATAAATTAAAATTTGAAACCGAGGGAGCATTGCACGATGAAGATCGTTACAAACTAACAATTCTTCAGATTTTTTCTAAAATTTCAATGAATATTTGTCAGCCTGACAACTGATCCCTGTCAGCTTTCTTTTTAGATGTCTCACCTTCACTTACTTTCATTGAGTTGTTTCCAAATGCAAATAAGTAAAGAAAAGAATGCCGCACTAATCGAAATTTTGTATAAGACCATAAACCATTAATGTAGCAGTAGATTTATTGCTGTGGAGTGCAGCTTCCTTCAGAGGAGTGACACTGAGATAGCAGAGTGGCGATAWSGAAATTAAGCRYCTGTACAAATTTGTATTGCCTACCAAGTAGTTTGCTAATTTAAAARTTCGAACACAGAAGTTGTTATTTTTTATGGCTTCAAAACGGACTACATATAGCACTTCTAGTGCGATCTTCTAGATTAGCCTAGATGGCTAACCTAACTTGTGTAAATATTAAAAAGTCAACATCTAGTTCAAGTAAATGTTACTTTGTGTATCTAGGTGTTGGTTATAACCTCAAAGAAAAATATCACACTAAATGCAAAATCACTGAGAAAAGTATTCAGTTAACTATATACACCTTTCCACCACAGAGTCGTTAACAATTGATTAATTACCGTAATTTAAGGCAATACATATATTTTTAACTCGTTACCGCGCGGCAATTCAACAAAATACTTGCAATTATTGACACGAAAACTTCGCTTAATTACACCTATCTATGGACGGGGACTGCAGTTAAAGTGGAAGTCATTAAAAATTTAATGTAATTTAAACCATTGTTTTCATTCCACAGACATACGAATGTATACACATATATAACGAATGTGTATACAATATATACATTATAAAAGTGTGGCTACTTTTATGAGGCAGTGTAAGRAACCGAGTTGAATGAATTTAAAATGCAGAAGTAAGGGATTAAGTGGGTGAACAATGGAAGGTGGTAACTCTTTCGAACGTATATAGTATAATTACATGTATGTMTATCCATAAATACACACTGTGTCTACGAAAATAAAGAAGAATCCATAAATATGTATATAAGTGCAGTACGGTGGGGCAGAGAAAAATTTAGATTTTGAGGCATTATTTAGTGAAAARGTTTTAAAATTAATAAAAATTATCTTCTACGATTTAAGCTTGAACGTTGACCTGAATTAACTTTTGGATAAGTCGACTTAAGAAAATACATACCGTATCAGAGCTCTTGTGTAGATCGTTAAATTCCTTACAAGCATGATATTACATTTTTACTATTCATAACTTTGTTAAAGCGGCTTAAATACCCAAGCAAAGTAAGAATATGTTTTTACGTTATATAGGATATATGAGAACTCAAATATCCGATGCGCCACCCGTTAATATTAGTAATAAGAGCACCAATTTTTCCATATTTTTCCATCATTTCGGTTGATAATTTCACGTTATAAGYGYTTTATGTTTTGAYCCACTTATTGTATAGTGGGGCGGCATATCGGAGAGTAAACTCAGCAGCGGCGGTTATCTTTATCTCGGCTAATTACGCRCATTTCATGCTGCGTATTCAAATATTACTTATTTATTTCATGTTTATTTGCTGGTGTGTCAATATTTGTTTTCATTCGTTGGCGCGTGAAACGAGCGAATTTTTAWTTACGAACTCCGCGTCATTATTACCCTCCTCCCGTATAACCGCCYAACCGACGCGAAGAGGGAATTCGCAAATATGCGGAATCCGGCGAGTCATGAAAGCAAGAGTGTTTTTTAAGTGTAGAGATCTAAAACTCCTCAGCTACAAAAACAAAAATTTAAACAGCTAAGTTTTTAAATACGTTATAACCAATTATTACGATTTTATTTATTGAGAGAAAGCAATATGGTCTCTTTAATTTCGAAAAGTGAATCAAATAAATAAAATGTGCAGGAATGAGAATTCTTTAAAATCATGATATATGCGACGGAATTTTTCCTTAAGATCTAAACTGTCTTGAAAAGCGAGACGGGATATTATATATAACTTCAGGCAGGYAAAAGGAACTGCTMACTRTTCCATTCAGAATTTTCACTARGAATATAACAGCAAGCATTTCTCAGCGATTAGTAAGTGTAGGTAGTTTCATAAGTTTTAAACGTCTAGTGTGTGGAGGAAGACTCAACTGAAATGGTATTGAAAATTCTCTGAGGTGAAAAGTAAAAAATTGTTTTTGAGCCGGCGCTAACTTGTCAGAACTGATTTGGTAACTGAGGATGCATGCAACAGAGGCATATTACAATATAGGTCCAAACAAAGTTTAAAAAAGTGTTTYAGTAGCATACGGACCTCTAAATTCTTTGGACCAACGTTCAATAAAACTGAGAATACCTTTTGCTTTCAAAACTATGGCATCAATATGAAGACTAAAATTAAGCTGAGTGCCCGTAGTAACTCCCAAATCGACAATGTTAAAAACTTGCTCTAGTAAACAATCTTTTAATACCTTAGGAATGGGGAAAACAGATCTACGAGAAAAGCACGTCGTTTTACATTTTCTGGATTTGCTTGGGAAATTATTTCTACTAYACCMAGTAACCAAATTGTTTAAGTAAAAACAGACGCCGTTCAATATCTGAGAATTCTATGACAGAAGAGAACGGTATCTAACTAAAACAAAAGACGAGTAATTAATTTAATCTGAGTTTCCTGAGATATCACTCTTTGTGTTCTGTCATTGAAGAAACCTTGTTTGAAAGCCAAGAACATCAATTTTATGTATGAGAGTTAACAGATTAAGAAGAAGAAATTAACGAAGNAAGCCAAGAACATCAATTTTATGTATGAGAGTTAACAGATTAAGAAGAAGAAATTAACGAAGGCAACGAAAACATTATACGGTATAAAATAATACCTGCAAAAAGTTTATATATAACTGACAGTTTTGCAACACGCCTATAGTTTTCAATGTATGRCCTAAAWTTATTYTTATGCARAGGGMTTATAAATGATATTGACTGCAATAAGGGCACCTTTTCTACCTTGGTTGGCTTCGAGACCCATCTAAAACCTYTGCCGTGCAACTSCACACTGAATTGAATTTTTCAATCCTACCAGCCTTTAGGTTTAAACCACAGCGACCACAAATCTCCCTAAAGTAGACCAACTCAATGAGCAGAAAGTGGTGAACTCCAAGGGCTAACTGCTYCCCGTGGCATCAGATTACCKTCTCCGGTCAGATTTTGTAGATTYTGTTACTACCAGTTGAGCACCCAATAACTCAATGACTGGTGATATTTATCGCTTGAACTTCAAWGGTCTTTTCATTAGAAGGAAACTCATTCAAAGAGTACAAAAACAGTTCAAGCTGAGTACTATGCTGCAATTTGGCGACAAGCCAAAAATTCAGGCATGTGTATTTTAGTTGCCTCTTAACATCTTCTGGTTGGTAAGTCTGAAGAGTCTTTTCAGGGCTTGCGCACTCCAAAAAAGTTAATTTAGTGTATTTTCGTGTCGGATAAGAAAACATTTTTGGAGAATTARTTAAGTAGTTTGACTTSAAAAGWTCTGCAACCGTATTGTACATATTTCATCGCGGAGGGAAATTTRGAGATTCGTAGTTTGAATTCATAAAATAATTTTGGATTACGTGCAATATTATGTCTTATCTTATTWAAGTAATTTTTATAACATTTTTTGTTTAAATCCGTACACTATCGGCGCAGCATAGAATATTTCAAATAGTCGACAAGTGAACCAGTTCATTTAAAATGTTTCAAAGCTYTAGTGTGTTCGTTCTATTCAACCTTTTAAGGTTAGCTTTTGTAATGTTAAACCGTGTACAGAAGATAGAAGATTAATGATTACTATCCAGTACATTGCCTAWGAGCTATTTCCATAGCRSAATTACTCTGAATAACGAAAGACTTTGCGAGTAGCGCTCGTGCATATATGTTTGTATGTGTGTGTGAGTTTGTACGCGTGTAAATAAAAACGCAAAGTAAATAAAAGAAAATGGAGATATTTATTTAAGTCGCATGTAATTTATGGGTAAAATATAAAAAAAAACAACAAATACACGACAAACTAAAGTAAAAGTCTCCGCTGTCTTGCAATGCGTAGAGTAGTGGCCAAAATGCGCCGAAGTTCTAACTTATTTTAATTTCGCTTGTTTACGCGCCTTAAAATATGCAGCAGAAATGCAGACGAGTTCGCAAAAGTTGCACAGCCGTTGAGTGATGTCTCAGTGCGTAAAGTGGCGGAACGTAAAATATAATTTACATACACACAAATAAACGCACATCCAGAAAAGCGCCTAAAACAAAAGCAGAAAACCAATCAGTGTTGAAATTTAATTTTCCTGGTGAAGAAAAGTTGTTAAAACAGCAAAAGCAAAGTTCTCAAGATTCTTAAAAATAACGAACAGGAGGCTGAACAAGCGTTTACAAGCAGCGCCGACAACTACATAAATGGACCGTTGTACTAAATTAAATCAGCAACGAAAGAAAAACAAAAACGATGCGCTTTAAGCATTTGGCTCAGCTATTAAATCTTCGAGACGTGGACGAAATTTTATACAGAGTATAAATTGGCATAGCTTATTTTAATATTCGACTACATATAGCCACGTGACCAAATAAACGGTAACAAAGCAGTAGAAAGAAAAACAAAAAGTGAAAATAAAATTTCCAAAAAAAGTAATAATAATAATGAAATTATGAAATTACAAAATCAGTGAAAAAATTATTTTAAAAAAAATATTCAAAACAAAAACAGCAACAAAGAAATAAAAATTTAACGTCAGCAAAAATTTCCAATCAAAGTAAATTCAATTTAAAAAATTCAACCGGTGTGCTCCCCAGCCAGCGAGTCACCTACTGAATACGGAAAAAGCGAGGTAATTGCATATACACAAGCAGATAAGCACATAACATACACACATATACACCAATATGTTTATAAAGGCATGCTTAACGTTGAACTATAACTACAGCGTGAACCTACCCAGGCATTATAAGCGTGCAAATTACCCATGCCAATAACAACAGCAGCAGCTGAAAAAAAAAATATATATGTTTTTTGCTTTAAAATGTCTTTAGTATAGTATACACGTATGTTGTGTGTGTTAGTCGATTCAAATGGCGCCAAAAGGTAAAGGAGCCTATTGTTGCTTATAAGCGCCGTCAGTTTACTATATTAACGAGCTGTCAGCACTTTCATACACACATATCTGCATACAACATCCACAAGCAAAACTTACGTCACCAAACCGTTAATGGTGGCTGAATGTGCGTGTGTGTTTATGAGCTTCTAAAGTGAATAGAAAGTTGCCTCTCTACAGCAAGTTTACAGGCAATTAGTTCGTTGATTGCATTTTTTCGGCGTGAGCATTTACGAATTAAATCTACTCAGCTTGATTTAAATTAATTCACTAACCAGAATGCGATTGTTGAGCTTAAAGGATGCGAAATTAGAACTCTGTGAAAATTTTAAAATTAAAAAAAATGTGCTTCAAGTACGTGCGTTAGATTATACTTCTTTTCTGGGTGAAGTGATGGCTTCACTTAGTCGCAGGCAACAGCGGTACAGTCCAAAGTTAATCGAAAAGTGTTTGGTG